TATTTGTTTATTAATTAATAACAGGTACAATTATTAGGCCTTGTTTAGTGAATGTCTTTCCACTTATATTGATATGTTAATCTCAAATATAACACTTTAAGCATGGATTTAAGAGACAACAGTGATCAACTAATTTTCCCTACTTTAGCTACATAACACTTTTAAGATCAATTCAATCAAAAGATTAGAAAAAACATGTCTGTCTTCCTCTCTGTTTTTGTTTTACTTTATATATTTGACAACTCTTTATGTCTAGTCTTTTTCCCCTTTTGCTTGTGTGGGTCTTCACATAGCAAAAAAGAAGAGAAAAAAATTAAATTAGGAAAAAAATTAGTAAAAAGTTTGAAGCAGGTGCAACTAGATCAATTTTAAAAACTTTTTTTTTAAATTGACTGTCTCAATCTGATGGAGTCCTTTTAAAAGAGGTGGTTTTCATGAAAAGAAACATAGGGAAGTAGAAAAAGAAACTTGTGAGAGCATCAGATCTTATGGTTTTATTACAAAAAATATTTCTATGGAAAAATAATATTCATTGATCAAAATCCTGTTTTGTTTGTTATTCAGCCTGTAAATGTACCGGTAGGAACCACCGGGTATCACCCATGTAGCTTCAGCAGTAAAATAAATTGCAATGAAGGAGAGCACAGAGGTAATGAGTCACCTAATATTAAATACTAGGAGCACAGACTTAATACTCTGACAATTTCTGTAACTGTGCTGAACATTGTTTTATCCCATCTCCACCACAACCACACCATTTTCGACAATAGTTGAGAGTGTGGCAGGGGACCCCAACACTGACAACTGATGTCTACCCAGTTTCTCTGTTTAGATCCATGCTTTCTAATGCTAGATTTGGCATTGCCCCAAAAGTAGCTGCTGAGCACCCTGAGAGTAGTAAAGGAGAAAGAGTTATTTACTCACCTCTCCATTTTCATTATTTTTAAGCCCAAAATGATTTCAGGAGATGCTATCTCAGAAACTTCTAGTTAGAAACTAAGGCTCTGTCTACACTAGCACTTTTGTCAGCAAAACCTTTGTCGGTCAGGGCTGTGAAAACACACCTCCCTGACTGACAGAAGTTTCACCGAGAAAAGCACTGTTGAGGGTGGTTTAATTATGTCAGCAGGAGAGAGCTCTCCTGTCGGCAGAGCAGCTACATAGGACCCCTTACAGCGGAGCAGCTGCAGCGGTACAGCTGTGCCACTATAAGGTCCATAGTGCAGACACTGCCTAAGAGATAAAAGGATGTGGTGTGATACATAGGACATGGCTCTGGACTGACAGTGAATAGATCTGGGTTTCAGCCAAACATAAGGTCATACTGATTGGACAGGGGACTCTATTATGGGAAGCAACGATTCTGAAAAAAAGAGGTTCATGGTGGGTAATAGCTGAACATGAGATTACAGTGCGACGGTGTAGCTCAAAGAACTAAATTGGAGAGGAGTCAAAGAAGGGCCATGAGAATGATTAAAAGATTGGAAAACATGCCTCCACAGTGAGAGACTCGAGAGGCTCAATCTATTTAGTTTATCATCAAAAAGATTAAGAGGTTATTTCATGACTGTCCACAAGTACGGGGAACAGAAATTTGATTATTAAGAATTTTTCAATCTAGCAGACAAAGGTGTATCAAATTCAGACTAGAAATGAAGTGCAAAATTAAAAGCAGGAAATCAGCCATCACCAGAAACTTTTATATCGAATGTTGCCCCTTTTCAACCTGAGCAGCTAGTCAAAGTTTGGGACCCTGGAGGTGTTCCAAATGGGAGTAGAAATTAGTGATAGGTATTTTTCAATGCAGGTTTATTTCTAAAGAATGTACAAAAATCCTGTCTCTCTGAATGAAGAAATCAAAAAGGAGGAAACAGCTTCTTTAGCTCACTGCACCAAGTGCACTCTTTTCATCCTGCACCTCAACCCAAAAACCTGTCCCCAGTTTCTTCAGGTCAGCCACCATGCTTTCAGCTGCTCTTTCAGGCTCTCTGTCTTTTCCAGTTTTTCCCATCTGTTCTGCCTCCCCTCCACACACACACACTCCTCCCCAAAAGCAATACTCAGCAAAAGCTCTAGGGCACATGCACACTCTCCTTTTCTTTTATTTGGGGGTATATGCTTACAGTTATGTTAACTGAACGGTGAATTTACACTTATCAATCTCAATGGGGTTTTAAACTCAACCCAAAACAAATTTTCATCCAGCTCATAACAGGATTTTTTCCAGAGGAGATGGTCTAGTTCAACAACAGCTATTAGACTTGAAAAGGGAATTCATTCGCCGAAAGCCTATGACTTAGGTTACACAGGAGACTAAATGATACCAGATAATCAAAATGGTCCTTTCTGGGCTTAAAATATACAATTCTACTCTCAGCTCTGCCATGCACATCCTGTGTGACTGTAAGTCACTTATCTTCTATGTACCTTTGTTTCCCCATCTATATAAATAAGATAATACTTAGCCTCCTGTGTATTGATTAAAGGTGCTATGTATTAAGAATAATATCAATCCTTTAGACCATTTGCAAACTTGAGTTTTCCAAGATACTTTCACACAGCATTTGCTAAAGTCACCCCTGAATTTGAGGGAAGGGGAGAAACAGGAAACAAATGCTGGAAACATTGGAAAGCCCAGACCCTTTGCAGAGATATTAGTCTGGCCCACGGATGCTGTTTTCGGCCTGCTGCAGGACTGTACAGGTCCAGTCCCAAATCTTGGACCTGGGCAACTTTCGGACCTGGAACCCAACACTGGATGAGACCCAGGAGCTCTATCCGTGCTTGGCCCCTCTGGCTGTAGCCCGTTCACTTGAAGGGGCGTCCAGGGCTCTGTATCCCAGCCCCTGCTGAGCTCAGCGCCCGGTGCAGAGGGCTCTGAGGCCCGGCCCGTGGACTGGGGGACGGGCCGGGTTTGGGGGCGCGGAGAGGGACCAAGGGCACATACTGGGCGGGGAGGTGGCAGAGCTGCAGCCTGTTCTCCCCCAGGGGCTGGCTGCCCGCCCCGCATAACACCGGGAGGGGGAGAGGGGAACAGAGCTGACTCCCCCCGCTGCGGGTCTCCCTCTGCCCCCACTTGCCCCCGGCCGCCGCCGCCGCTCCCCCTGGGGCTCCCTGCGAAAGACCCGCTGAGCCGCGGCGACAGGGGGTTCCCAGCCCGGCCTCTCTCACCTTCAGGGACTGGGCCCCGGGCGTGGCCGGGTCGCTGTCACAGACCCGCGGGGACAGAACCGCCGCCATGGCCGCCGCCCGCTCCCTCCGCTGGGCGGGGCGAGAAGCCGCAGCGTCCCCGGCGTCACGCCCGCCTCGTTTGACCCCGTAGCGCCATCTGCCGGCCGGATCCGGAGCGCGCGCCCCTTGCCTGCTCCCAGGGCCTCGCGGGGCGCCCGTGGGCCTGTTCCCGAGTCTCCTTCTCACCGCGTCTCCACCCCCGCTGTTCTCCAGCCTGCTTCGCCTCTGCCCCGCACCCCCGCCACCACCTGCCTCCCCCTCTCCTCATTTTCTAGTTATCCCCAGATTCCGCTCCCCCGCCCGGGGAGCGCCCAGAGCCCCAGTGGCCCCTGGTGGTTTTCTAGTCTCAGCCACGAGACAAGCCAACTCTCGAGAATGTATCGCCAGAGACTCGATTTCCAAGTAAAATTAAGCCTAACTCGGGCTCTCCTGATAGAACTCGCAAATGTCCAGATTGATTTATTTTTCAGGCCCCGGTTCTCCCTCTCCTGCAATGGGAGAGTTCTATTGCCAGATCACGCGAAGCTAGGATGACCAGACATCAAATGTGAAAAATCGGGACGGGGGTGGGGGGTTAAGCTTAATTGTTCTTCCAAATTGCTGTCAGTCCTGGGCGAGGCAGAGCACCTGCTTTCAGCCCCGTCCACTGGGGGCTCTCACTGTCAGCCCCAGGAGGAGGGGCTCCTACTGTTAGCCCAAGAAGTGGGAGAGGGACCCCACTTAGGGCTGGCCCTAGCCCAAATGATGCCCCACACAAGGAGCGTCTTTGGCCCCTCCCCTCCTGCCCCCCCCTTTGTTAAACATTTGAATACCTTATTTTAATTGCATTTGTAGTCCATTTCACAGCTTTGATGCATGATGTGCATGAATGATTTATCCCTGTCATGTAAGGCAATAGTTTGCGTCCTAGGATCTGGAAGTCTGTATTTATTCATGCCATATATAAACAAATAAAAAAAATTCATTTCCTCAAAGCTTATAGAAACTTTTTTTATTTTAAGAATAACTGAAATGTACTAACATCAAGAAATTGAACTGTGCACCAACATTGGGTGGACCAGTATTACATAATGTTACAGTAGATGACAGCCTTAGAATATTAAAGTGTCAGCCAGTGACTTTTTATATATTTACATACTGCACAATTTCTTCTCCATAAAAAAACAACACTTCTATGAAAGGAGAAATCTTTGAAGCTAATTTGTTCTACAGTGTGTTGTATAGAGAAAATATTGAACACATAGCCCCACCATACACTATACAAAGTTTGGATTCTAGCTTCACATCAGTTCCAATCATTAAAGGGTGGATTACTTCCTCCATGTTAACGTATGACTTATATTACCATTCAAGTTGTTCAAATGAAGAACAAAATATGGATAAACCCTTATAGATAGCGTTGAAAGATTTTTATCGGTAAATGTTGATTTCACTGTACACACAGAAACTGACATAAAATAATTCCATCAATAATGGAAATGTACACAGGCAAAGTAATAAAAATGGTGCTTAAGAACTTAAGTTTGATTTAAGGATATTTACTTTATATATTTTGACATTATGTTGACAATGTGTTTTTATTGTTATAAAGATTTAACTTTTTAAATCTCAACATTTGTTGTCATTAAATAATAATTTTCTGTCACCCCATAATTTCCTGCAACTGTGAAAATGTAAATCAATGAAAATAAAAAATGCTTAAAATCCATAATTTGGTGCAACTGTGAAAATGCAAATAGAAAAAAAGCTTAAAAATAAACATTGATAGTATCCATCAAAATTATAAAAAATTCAATTCTGCCAAGCCTACTTATAGAAAAGGCCCTGATTCTGCAAGGTCTTAAGCATGTGTGTATATTTGTTTACTCATGGAAGTAGTCCCATTGAGTTCTCTGGGACCACTCACATGTGCAAAGTTATTATGTATGTTAGCATTTGCAGGATAAGAATTTTATATATGTATTTATATTTACACATATGAATACTCCCATGGCTTAAGTGTTTACTGGATTGGAGTCCAAGTTTATTAAGCTTGAAGAAGCCAGCTGTTACCATGTCCAGGTGAAATTTCCATTCTGATGCTTTGTCTATGTAAGAAGTATTTGCTTTGTAGCAGGGAGGATGTAGCCTCCTGAGTCAATGCATGCACTATACTAAACTGAAGAAGGGACGGGTACTGATGAGCACCCACAGCAGCACACTCTGCCCAACACCACAACCCTAATGGGGAGGAGAAGTCCTGGGTGAGAGAAGGCAGGGGGCTTGAAGAGCAAGACAGCACTACACTTGTCCAGTAGTAGCAGTTCCTGTCCCACAGAGCTGGGCATGGCTCCCTGCTCTGGACATTGTAACCTGGCTCATGGGGTCACAATGCCCAGAGCAGGGAATATGGCCCAGCCCCATGGGACAAGAGCCAGCACTGCAGATGATTTCTACAGGTACAATTGAACCCATGAACCCTGACACTAAAGCCACCCTTGCTTTGTGGTATAAGGAGTTAACTACAACCTTACATTACCAAGCCATCAGGCATTTTAACAGAAAATTAAACATGATCTGTATTATTTTGAAAACAAATACTATTTATTTTCTTCTAAATTGTTATGTTTGAACAACATCAATGAAATAATAGCAGATTTGAGTCAGTTAGGTTAATATAGCAGCAATTCTAACATTCTTTATAAATACTTTGCAAATTTTGTCTTAGCCATTCTTTTCAATATAGATATATGTATTGTTGTCATTAACTGTCAATTACATATCCATCTCCTAAGATTTTAGGTTGTCACTGAATGGATTTTACAGCTCTTCTGGCTTTGTTGTCATTAGGAACCAGTCTGATGAAATGAAAAAAAGTAACTGAATCCAGTAAATACAATATATCAGCCTCCAGACTAAGGATTATAAAACAGTTGATGGTTTGTAATTTGGGGTCCATTCTGGTATCAGTGAAGTCAATGACAACACTCCCACTGACTTCAACAGGAGCAGGACTGGGGCCTTAAATGGAATGTTCCAAACTTCAAAATACAAAAATGAGAGTTTAACAGGCATAAGAAAAAAACAGCTGGTTACAGTGGGGAAAATGTATTGAATCTAAGAAAAGCTTTTAAAAATAAGCCACATTACAGTGGCTTTCCTTATTACTAGATCTCTGAAGAGATTATTGCTGTGGAATTTGATGAATATGACAACAACTGAGAGTAAATACAATGTTACTTTTTTGTTTCAGAGTCACCTCAAAGAGTAGAATATTTCCCTTTTATGAACGGAATTGTCACTTGTAATATGTTGGAACCCCATCCTTTAGAATGTGCGAGGCCACATTCAGCACCTTGCAAAATGGGTTCTTAGCACCTGTCATAAATTCATAAACATAGCATTACGACAGATGTATATAGTATGCACTCACCCATACATATTTTTTAAAAAAATTATAGACAAGAATTTGTAAAATTTGTTTAAATTTATGTGCATTTCAATGTATCAACTGTTTTTAACTTAACAAAGAAAGTGTTCTAAAATAACTATAACTTTATGAAGATTTTTGAACAATTATACAGAGTATTGTGATGATCATTAACAGAGGTTGCTTTTCGAAAACTACTCATAGTAACAAGCCATTATCAAAGCCAATGAAACAAAGGATTCTGTTTCACATTTAGCTGAAACCCAGTTGTCCCTTGCAACATCCCAGACCCATCTGCTGGAGATCTATGGGGGAGAAAAGAACAAAGTACTATTACATTGATTAAAAGAGCACAAGTCTTAAGGAAATATTTTTCAGATTAGAACTTTACAATGAACATGTAGCATTACATAGGTGCAGCTAGTTTATATTAATTTATTTAAAATAGTAAGAATATATATAAAACTGCAAATTAAAAGGAAATGAATGTTTTATTACTTATTGAATGCATTTTATTTTCCTTTAGAGAAAATTTACCTTAAGAGCTCTGAAAATCTGGTAGTCACAAAATATTGTTCAGTGATTTTCCTTATCACTTTAAAAATATCTACTGAAACATACACTGGGGCTAAATCTGTAATACTTACTCAGGCAAACCTCTTGTGTCCTCTTCACACTGACCAGCAGTGTTAGTCAGCCATGGTGAGGTGTACATGCTGCAGTCCATTGAGACAGAGCAGCTGAGCTTCCTCTGCACCTCGGAGCTCCAAGGGGTAGCTCACCCTAAAGCAATGCAGATCTGGACCACAGTGAATGTGGTGGTATGCCCAAGAGGCACAATAGGGCCCCAAATGTCTAACTCAGTTTGTGAAAATATTATGAGTAAATTAATTTGTCTACTCACTTTTATTGCCTGACCAGTCTTTTGCAAGATTAGGACTGTTACTACGTACTTATAGCGATCAAAGCCCATGTCCTTGACAGCTGTTAATATTTCTTCTGAGATTGAATTACACAAGAAGCTACTAGTCGCACCATTATACTTGGTTTCTTGAAGTCGTTGCTATCAAAAGAGTTTAAAAAAAATTGTAATCTCCATCCTAACAAGCTTTTGTATAAAAAAATCTTACTTTTAGCTATAAAGAAAAAGGAAGTAAACTACTGGAATGTTTGTACACAATAGATGATGTCCCCAAATAAAAAGTTAATCATTTTTACTGCGAAACACTTTATCCGTCAAAATATTGAAATATTTCACTTTAAAACATTTTTAACAAATCTTTTAATTTTCTTTGAACTGAACAGAAGTGTACTTTTTTCCTTTTGACTCAGTTTCATGGAAAATAGCCTAGGGAGCATCGGTCTGCATATCCACAACACGTCTCCTGCACTACAGAGTCAATGGGATTAGTTCTTAGTTTTCAGGGTAAATAGTATAATTTCCCTGCTCTTTGGCAACTATAGACTGTCTTAGTAGATTCTCCAGAGCAGAGTCCCTCATTCCATTTAACTTGATTTCATATACGGCAATCAGACTGCTGTTAATAATACCAGAGGGACTCCACCAGGAATACTTTGCTCTCATGTCATGAAATGTTACCCGAATCAATTAAGGGAATAAAATTCAATAAATCCAAAATGTCCTATTATTTATTTTATTTTGGATAGTTCTCTGACGCTTTTTAATCTATTAACAGAAAAAAGATCCAATCCCGTAAGGAGCTGAAAACCCTCAACTTTCACCTTCACTCTGGTGCTCAGCAAGCACCCTGCAAAAGACATTCAGTATCTTACAGTATAGAGCCTGTGATGAGCATGAGGATGGACTTATGGATATGCTTAACTTTATAGTAACTTTGTAGTAACCCCAGGGCTGTCTTTGAGGGACTGGGGCCTAACAGTTACACTAAAATTAAATATCTTACATACAATTTAAACAAAAAGTATTACTCTACCGTTAGTATATGTTGAGCTTTGTTTCTTACTAAATGAGCCTGGAATTTCCTATATGGCTCCATTTTGTATGTATTGGCATATCTTATTTTTGCAATGCTAGTCTTCAATGTAAATATTTCACTTCTTCCAAACTCTGCAAACGATTCATCATCCATTGGTTCCGTACCGTGAACTTCATGGCTTGAACTTCTCATTCTGTCTTTTACGATCTGTGTATACTTTTTAAAACAAAAGAAAAAATAAAGCTTAGTATTATGCTTTGGTATTTGATTGTTGAAAGTTTTCTGACACTTCAAAATGGTATCGCTAGAGGGAAAGACTGAAATTTTGTTTGGGATCATCAGAAATATCTGAAAAAAACTAAACTGTGAATTGTTCACTTCTATTATGGATAACTGAGGAGTGTGCTAGTTATCTGATGCTCCTTCTGGGAAAAGGGCCAGAGGGATATCCTCTCACCTAAACTCTGATTCTGCTTCCCCTGAAGTCTATGCAAATTTTGCAGTTGACTTCAGTGCAGGCAGAATTGGGTACTCCAGGGAGAAGAAACCCTTGATCAATCTGTCAATAAATCCTTTTCACTATCTTTCAAAAGTTTTAGAAAGCATAATCCCAGCCACTTATCTAAACACCTGTGTTACCAGTAGAAACTTTTCAGTACTGATGCTGATGTTGTATACAATACCAATATAATAAACGTTATAACTGATTTATTGATCTTTTATGTGATTATATTCTGAAAAACTACTGTACAAATTGCACTGCAGAGTTGTCTACATGTGGTGTCTCAATGACTTCCAGATAAAATTTGCTCAATTTTAAGCAGAAATGTATTTTTTTCTATTTGCAAGAACTAAAAGCTCAGTTTCGGATCTGTGGCACTCTGTGCCTGAAAGCAGCACCCTGGAACCCTCATAAGCACCACTTTCATATAATTATGTTTTGTACAAAGTATACCTTGTAAGGTATCATTGTAAGTCTTGATCTGTTGAACATGAATATCCAGTTGGATTGTAAGTGCTACCATTGTATGGGAAGTTATGAATTTTTGTTATATGTGTGATACTGAAATATCTTGTGAGCTTGGGAACACCCACAACCAGCCTTTCAGTTATAACAATGGAGTAGCCAGACACTGATGATGGCCCACTGAGGGGAATCCACACTCACAAGGACTACCCCAGGAACTGTATACAATGGAGACCTCTCAGAGAGAGCACGTAGACAATGGAGACTGTTTGACTCGTCATAGCAAAGGATCTTTCCAGCAAGCTGGAAGAAATTATAAAAGAGAGGAAGTGACATCATCACTTGGCTTCACTCCCTCCCACAACTCAACACCTGGAAACACATCTGGAGGACAAAGACTGAACTGGGGAGGTGGTCCCAGGCTGGAAAGGAGAATCCCAGCTTGTGTATTAAGGAACTATACCATCAGGACGAGACACAGCTTGATTCAAATCCTATCTAATTTATCAGATTGTGATTTTACTTTTATTTCGTAGGTAACCAACTTTGATCTGTATGCTTATAACTTATAATCACTTAGATTTTGTTTTATATTTTACCTTAAACAGTGTGTTTTGGTTGAAATGCTTGGGAAATCTGCAGTGTACAATGTGGAGAGCGTGTCCTCTCTACATTGAGGGAGGGGCAGACTGGGTATTAAATTTACACTGGTCAGGCTTCTGACCAGTGCAGGACGATACAGCCCTGAGGTCCTAGGCTGGGGAGCTGGGGGAATTGGCTGGAGCCTCTCTATTGTTAGTTCATGAGTGGCTTGGAGAAGCATTCATGTTACTCAGCTGGGTGCGTCCCTGTATGTGGATTGCTGTGTAAGTGCAGTACCTGGTGAGGTTTGCAGCTTGTCACAGCATCACAGTGTGAGAGGGAGCCCAGGTTGGTGCCAGAGGGCTCAGCAATACCCCAGTTCCAGGTTGCACCCCGGGGAGCCCGTTACAGGCTCTGAAAGTGAAGAAGTGATCATTTTTGTTTATTCATCTTTATCATTAATAAAGATTCCGCACCACCAAATTCTGCCCTCAGTTACACTAGTATAATGTCATTCTCTTCAATAGTAACTGAGGGCAGAATTTGGCACTGCAGATGAAACTTAAGTAGTCGTACTAATGATGCAGAGACAAAATGGAATCAAAATCAGTCCCCCAGAGGTGTGTTGACTTTGCAGTTCTAGCAGGAGTCAAAAGTAGTATAAACATATTTTTGCCACTACAATGAATGTATATGATCCTGAATATATACAGAGTGATAAAGCAGATTTGTTGAGTAAGAAAGTGACATTTCCCCAGCCATGATTAGAGTGGTTTCTCCATGTGCAGGTCTCACCTCTCCTACCCAGAAGGTGGGTCTGCTGCCACTATGGTACCAACCCCCAATTCTATGGAGATACAGACATGGGTTTAGGATCTGTTCTGAGGAGGTGGTAGGGAACAAGGAGTGGGCTGCCCCATGATGGATGGGGTCAAGAGGGACACACATCATCCCTAGACTAACCCTTGTATCCTTAGGAAATGTAATTAGTAGTAGTATTTGTATTGCAGTAGTACCTAGGAGCCTTCTGTCACAGACCAGGGCCCCTACTGAGCTAGGTGCTGTACAAACACAGAACAAAAAGACAGTCCACGCCCTAAAGAGCTTACAATCAAAATATAAAAAAAGACAAGTGAATACACACAACCAGGGAGCACAAGGAATCAATGAGACAATAACAGTGGGCAGGATAGGCAGTGGTCTCAACACACCAGCTAACCATTTTTGTAGGCATCATGACAAAAGAGAGTTTTAAGGAGGGATTTCACGGAGGACAATGAGGTAGCTTTACAGATGTTTAAGGGGAGTTCCCCCCCAAAATCTGTATAGCCTGGAACTATATTACCTTTTCCACAAAGCCCTCTACAAAGTGTGGAGCTTTTTTAAAGAGGAATAAGGGTCAGCCACAGCCAGGGAGAAGGAGGTGGAGTGCCCAGGGGAAGAAGGTTCACACTGAGGCACAAGGTCTTCATACTGATGACCCTGACCTCCCACTGATCCTTCAACATTGGTGTGGATCCACAGGACTCAAAAGGTTTAGTAGCAGACCCTGCGTCTTCTTCAGTGAGTGAGTAGATCCCACCCTCTGATGAAACAAAATAGGAAATTTTCCACAAGGGGAACCTCCAGTTTTCTTCTCTCTTTATTCCCTTCAGGGATTTTATTGTGGAAGGGAGCAATCCAGCCCTAAACATTAATTCATAGGGCAGGGAGACAAGCTTTTGAGCTTCCAACAACAGAAGTTGGTCCAATAAAAGGTGATAGCTCACCCACCTTGTCTCTCTAATATCCTGGGAGTGAAACAGCTACAATACTGCATACAATTTATATGGCAATAATTTTAGATTTCTTAATCTCTGTGTTGTCATATTGTATTAGTTTTGTAAAAAAACATTAACTGATATAGTATTCGTTATAGTAGTTATCTGTGTAACTGACAGGATATTCTGTTGTCTAAGAAAGAGATCTGGACATTAAGTTCATCTCGCAGGTGCCATGAAACCAAAGTTCAATGGGCTCAGCTGAAAACAATGTCCTTCCATTTACTAATCTGAACTTTTTTCCAGCAGCATTTTAAGCTACCAAAACCCAATGCACATATATCACCAAAAATGTAAATGTGGATACATGCATTTATTTGGGTATATATTAAATTATAAACAGTGGTCTTGGAATGCTAAAGTCAAGGAGTTATATTCAAGGGGTGTGGGATTGAAGAATAGCTGTTGAAATGAAGCCCAGTTGCTCGGCTGTGGAGCCAAATGCCTGATCGACCCACCTGGCATGAGCACCGATTCACCACTGCTGCTGAATGGGGCACCCTGCCCCTGAGACTCAAGGAACCTTATAAGGACCCATTAGAACAGCTAGCACAATGTGGAGATCCCAAGGCAACTACCCATCCTTCACTGGGGGAAAAGCCGAACAATCCTCTTTGAAAATCTAGAAACTATTGGTTTAGAAAAATCTGATCTGTCCTGGGTTGATGGATGAATTGCTGAGATCGTTCCTAATGGACCCTCTGGGAAACTAGAGAACACTTGAGGATTTCAGATGTAACAGGTACTATAAAATATCCTGTATTCTAGCTTCTGTTGCAGGTACAACATGGGGAATAGACCAGGCTGAAAACCACTTCCACTTGGCTAAATAAACAGATAAAGTGGATTAGTTTCTGCTGCAATACTTCCTGAACTGCCCATGAACAATCTTTATCTGCCTAATTTAGCCCCTCAATACCCATGCTGTGAGATGCAGGCTGTCCAGATCTGGGTATAATAATTGACTGTTCTTGGGACAGTAGATCTGGAAATGAAGGCAGAGTCCATGGAGGTCAAATAGAGGCTGTGAAGATTCATGAACCCAGCACTGTCACAACCGTGCTGGAGCTATAAGAATTATTTTGGTATGGTCTTGTTTTAATTTGAAAATCACCTGTGTGATGAGAGGAATGGTGAGAAATATGTACATGAGGCTTGGCCCCTGCTGAAGGAGAAAAGCAGGGGTCAAAAAAGCCTGGGCTGTGACCCACTTGACACTAAAACTGATGGCATTTCCTGTTGTCTTTTGTTGCAGTCTGACTGATTGGATACGCCAGGCATGAAAGATGGTTCTGAGCACACTGTTCTTCAGAGAGCACTCATGGTTTTGTGAAAATCTCCTGCTGAGATGATCAGCCAAGAGGTCCTGGGAGCCTAGTAAGTGGGAGGCAATAAAAGTAATATCATCCGTGATGCATAAGTCCCATTATTTCACAGCTTCTTGACAAAGCTGACTGGACCTTGCTCCTGCCTGTCTGTTTAGGCAGTACTTCGTAGCTGTAATGTCAGTCAGAATCTGAACTGACAATCCCTTAATATGAGGAAGAAAAGTGTGACAGGCCTTGTGAACTGCCTGAAGTTTGAGCACATTGACGTGAAGGGTTACCTCTTGTTCTGTCCATAAAGCTTGGGTTAGTAAACCCTCCAGGAGAGCACACTATCCTATCAGGGATGCATTGGTGATATCTGTTTTGGATGCAAGGGAACAAGAGAATGGAATGCCCCTGCACACATTGTTCTGATCCACTCATCGTTCCAAAGATGCCAGGACCACAACAGGTACACAGAGCAACATGTCTAAGGGCTAGCTGATCAGTCAATAGACTGACTTCAGCAGCCCCTGGTGG